TTGCTGGCTCTCGTTTTAATGTCTACACTGGCCAAGTAACGCCTTCCACTGTGCAACCCAAAGTGGGATGACATGGAAAGCAGAGACAGTGACTTCAAAGGATTCTCTCACCTTCCCTGACAGCCCTAAACAGTTGTTCAGGGCCAGACTTGTTTGAACTGCTAGCTTAGTTTAGCAAGGCTTTAGCAGATGTAGTAGAGGCAATACAGAGAGACAAAATAAGGGCTGTGAATGAGTGGTACAAAGTGTATAAATTTGCCTCAAACACTGTAACATTGATCAACACAGTTAAGTGTAGTATTAGAAGACAGAATGTGATGTTGCTTCGGGGGCATGGACATTTACAGGCAGCATACTATTAACACTGATAGACTGGGACCAGAATCAGTATGATACTTACTCACAGAAGTAGATTAAAGGTGCTTTCAAACAACGAGCAGTTGCCACCTGGCAATTACAATGTTCTTTTTATAATAAATCGGTGGAAACAGGGCACAACTCCACCGTGGCGGTTCCTGGCTACTTCCAATCATACCAGTCTGTATACCACAGGCTGCTGCCATCCACCTTCTTATGAAGGTACATAGAGCAGGTTGTAGCTTAAAAAGATGGAAATGGTCAGTACTATGATATATAGTATATAATATGGCAGGTTTTGTCAGCTGGTGGGATAAAAGCTGTTTATTGAATATATACTGAAATCGAACATCTAAAGCTGATGTTGCTCCAATACAGTTTTTCTTCATTGTTCTGCAGATGAAGAGGTGTGAAATTAAGCTCCTGTATTGTTTCCCTCGCTTTAGTTTTTGTGGCTGCCGTGGTCACAGAGCGAGCAGTGACAAGTTGAACCATCATAAACTCCAAATGCAAAGAGCTGTGCGGCCTCCCCCTCCTCGCAACCGTTTACAATAAATACGATGGAGGCAGCTGCAAACACTTGCTGTCTGAAAGTAGTGTTAAGTTACGTTTTATTTTATTTTTCTGTTTCAGTTTCTTGTGTAGTTGTAAAAGAACTTTAAGACTTTATCAAAGAGTAGATACAGAAGATTAATCTATCCAGACATTCCACGCCAGCTTTTAGTCCTTAAAGTTTCCAAGACTCAGTGCTAAAGACACATTTCTGTTAGTACCAAAAAAGTATTAATGGTTTGATGCCTAGCCATATGTAGGACAACATTATCTTCATTCATGCGGACTGTACCAGTAGACAGTAGCTTGTAGCCATTCATTTTGAGGGTGGTTTAACTGTCGTTCCAACCAGCATACCATCATTCTCACCCACTGGGGTGTTGATGCACCATTTCTCACACGCTCATCTATCAATAGCAGACAAAAGCTGGATTCGCTCATCGGTTTTAAGCTCCAGGGTCGAAGGCGGTTTATCATTATTCACAGCGCAGCCCACACTGCATGTGTAACAAGAGGTGTACGGGACAGGGTGGGCCACTTCCATCCCCTCTCATCGTGTAATGGTTGAAACTGTCTGGCCGTTTAAGGGAATCCATCTGAAAAATAGTCTGCCAGTGCCAAACACTCAGCCACTCCTTCATGAAAATAGCCTGCGCGCTTACATCAGGTAGAGTAGATGCATCAAAGGGCAGCTAAGTGGCTGAACATGTACGGGCCAAAAAAACTGAGCCAAGGGAAGAAAAGCGGGAGATCTTAGTGTGTAGATGTATGAGTGTATTCTGCCGGAGGGTTTAGCAGCCAAAGCGACTTTTATGACCCAAACAAAACATCTCTGTCTGAAACATAATTTTACAACATGGCACAAAGCACTCTTTAAATCAATAGGACATTGAAAAATGTAATCTCTCCCCTCCCTCTCCCTTGTTTTCTCTCTCTCTTTCACACATGCACACTTTCCTACCCTCTCTTCCTTCTCTTTCCACATGTACTGAGGTGTCTTAGGAGTGCTAACTCATCATGACAGAACTCAATTCGGACAGAAGACGCAGCAAGGTGCTTTAACTTGCAGCTCGCCGCCCACATCGGGAAAAGATGTCGGAGATTTTTCCACTATAAGGTCCAACCTCCTTTGTGTTGATGAGGTGTGTCCCACCCCCTCCGCCAAAGCAAATCAGACCTTAAAGAAAGAAAACAACTTTTTTCCCATATCGGTTTGTTCCTTAATGTGGAAAGATCCCTGATATTAGTTTGTGTTTAGAATTCGTCAGTAGGTGGAACACAGCGCTTCCAAGTGGAGCCTCTGACTCAGGAGATGTTAAGTCTCACCACACTGGGAAGCTGGTGACAGGGCTTAGTCCGTCCTAAGTGTTGATGGAACGACGCGGAGAGAGTAACTTGGCCAGCAGTTGCAGGTTTCAACTTCTGATTGCAATGACCTTTCTAGAATAATCACCCTGAGCGTTGGTGAAGCACCTTCTGTGTTTGCCGTGATGGCTTGCCCACAGAGTTCACACTCTACGCAATGGAGGGATTTACAGTGAACCGTTGCTTTTTCCTGTTGTGCCCTCAATCCAGCTCTTTGTTTTCTTCCCTCCCCCTCCCCTGTTGCACATCCAGGTGTTTGTGAAGGCGCTTTTCGACTACAACCCTAAGGAGGACAAAGCCATCCCATGTAAGGAGGCTGGACTGGCCTTCAAGAAGGGCTCCATCCTTCAGATCATGAGCCAAGATGACGCAACCTGGTGGCAGGCCAAACAAGAGGGGGACGCCAATCCCCGTGCCGGCCTTATCCCATCCAAACAGTTCCAGGAGAGGTAAGAAACAACCCCTGCTAGATCAGCCTGTCCTGTCTACTCTCTACCATTGCCTCTTAACAAGGCTGGCCCAACTGTCTTTACTGCTGTCACAGTCACACAAGTTTCACTCTCTTTCTCTTTCTCTCCCCCCTTTTTCTCTATTTTTTTTTTCTTGCCTCACACTGCCAAAATAGTCTGGATTTCCGCACAATGTCTGGCCCGAAATGAGTAATGACAGAAAATGATAGCGCTGGTACCGATCCACTTTGGACGGCAAGTGGATGGAAAATCGCACATCAGTGTGCGCTCGGACGGCCGCACTTGATGTGCAACACAGAGCTCAGGAGGCCGGGGCAGTTTCTTGGCACCGCCCAGGAGCACCCGAGGAGGAAAAAAAACACACACACACACACACACATATAAAGAGGGAGGGAGGAGAGCAAAAGAAGAGAGAGAACATTTCACAAACATTCAGATTTAACCCTGCAGTTTTGTCAACAGCAAGTGCCTTTTTCCTTCACCTCCCTTCTTTTCTTTCACCAGTCTTAGCTGACAGAATGAAAGTGGTGGATATTGAAGAGTGGGTTCTCTGTAGCGTAGCAGGGAGTGTTTATTATTCCCTATGCGCTCATAAAAACTGATGGTTTTATTGTGCCTTTTCTTTCTCTTTTCCTCTCTTTCTTTCTCCTCCTCTCTCTTACTCCAGGAGACTTGCACTGCCGCGACCTGTTGCGACTCTCGCGTTCCAGAAGACCTCCACCCGACGATCATGTAAGCATATATCATCCTCTGTGATTGGCCCCTAACAAACTAGAACATGATAACACTCTGCAACAGGTGGGTGGCTGGAGGAGAGGTAATGCAGAGGAAGGGATAGTAACGGTGAAAGTTAGGGAAGTTGCTCAGGAGCCATCTCTGCACTCTAAGGCCACTGCTGAAGCCCGCTGTACAGTTGCGCTCCTTCCCGCCTGTCATCGGAGGAAGTGCTGTGTCTGGATTTACCTTCCTTCTTATTTTCCCGTCTGCTCCATGTTTCACTCTCTCAGTCTCTCTGTTGCCAGACTCTTTTGCCTCTGTCCCCCCTCTGCCTTCCCACGTGTTGATGTGGTCTAAGTCATGCAGGAGCTTTAATGCGAAAGAGGAGGGGGTTTTGCCCTTTGGAAAACCTCTCTGAGCCTTTACACCTTCCAGCCAAAACACCAGCCAGCCCTACCCATCCAGCTCACCTCTCCACATCTCAGAGAACCTAATGACGGATTAATGATCTGATACTAGACCTACAGATGTGATGGAGGCTCAACACTGCTCTCTGGAGTGCATTAACGTACCCTAACCCTGGCTAGTCAGTGCAGCAAAGTTAGGGAGAACGCATCAGCAGGAGTACTTAGCAGAAATGTGCTATAACAAGCCTGGATCAGGAAATAGAGGGATTATAGCTAAATCACCCTTATAAATCAAAGATTGTTGATTGCTTCATAATGAAGACAGAAGACATAAACTATGTTACACAAGAAAATGACAGCAGCAGAAATAATTAGGTATAGCCTAGACACCCTGGTTCATACTCATACCAATAATACAGTGGAAAAGAGAATCATCACCACAGTAAAATAAGTGTTTCACAGTATAACTTTGAATCAGCTAACCTGATCTCTGAATAGAGGGCTTTGATAGTAAAGCTGTGAGTGAACTTTGACAGGTTTAAAATCACCAAGGTGACTCCCAAGATTTATGGTGCCACTAGTAACAGATTGAATTAAAATGCAGATGAGAATGTTATAAAATGTTCCTCTTTTGGCGCAGACAATGGATTTCCTTGTGGCTTTTCTGGTCATGAAAACTAAAATCTTGCAAACAATCAATCAACTCTACAGTACATACATAACTGTCTCCAAAAGGAACCTTGAAGCCGCTCCATCAACGATTTTGACCTAACAGTGGTTGAAGATCTCCACTCCCAGCAGCCACCAGAAACAATGCAGCCTTGAGGAGTAGGTAGTAGAGGTCTGAACAGCCCTTGTTTTTTAAGACCTGTCCCCACCTGCTCTGGCAGCTGTTTGTGCCACAACCGCTTTGCGCCCACAGCCCACTTTTCTCCCTCACCTGACTGAATAGCTCTACAAGAGATTCCCTGTCACGCAGTCTCAAAATGACAAAGACATTAGCTATGATTTACAAACAGCTGCCAAATAACAATTTGGTTTGTATATGGTGAGCTACAGTGCGTGAACAGAAGGCTCTCCAGCTGGCATCATGACTGCGCATTACAATATGACTGCATGTGCCTGCCTGTAGCCATGAAGGAGGAAAACATTCTGCCAATATCTGCTGTGGGTCTTACAGAACCACCCCAGACAGACTTGCATCAATATTGTGCCCAACATTGTGCACTGCTTTTTGCTTTTTGTGATCTTCAAACCTGAAAAAATGAATTCAAAAGTTCAAAAAAATCATGCGACATGGTGTTGCCAATGTGAATTAGTTTTGAGTGAAACTTCAATACCAAAGTAATAACAAAGACATTATCCATATTATAGTGTTTATTACAAGTTATCCCACATATATACCCCTTTCCAACAGTGAAAGCATTCCCTATAAATTTCCCCCTCCGTGCTTTACATCAGCTACCCAAGCTTACTTTTAAAAACTCTACATGACTTCTCCTCCTACGCACCTTTCCTGTACTGCCTCCAGGATCCAAAATTAACTTTTTCGTCTATCTGCCAACTGCTGGTAAACTGTACCAGACAAAATATTTTTCAACTGGCCATAAAACTGCAGCTTCACAAAAGTAAGGATTTTCTGGTTTTCCTTTAACTTACTTTAATTTTTTGTTCACATTTGACAAGTGGCGGGTGATCATTTTGGACTCCCTCCTTGCATCCCTGCTTTGTCTTCACATCTTTGCCTATATATAAGTTTTCATAACCACACATTTAGGCCCAATGGTTTTAGGTCGTCCTCGGCAATGTACAACTTGCCTCCCTCCTTTCATTCTTTCATTCCAAAACATATGAACCCTCAGAAAAATACACTACACTTGTACTTGGTTTTATAGGCCTGCTCTGGTCTCACAATGACCCCATTGAACCAAAAGCTAGCTCTTATTGGCCATATTTTTCAGTGTAGATTACCACTTTGAGACGGACATGTCCATTTGACTACTTGTTTCCCTCAACATGGCGGTGAGCCCTTAATGTAACGTGACTCTTTCAATATGTAGCTCTGAAATAACCAAGAAAGCTACGCTGACCACCTCTAAACTTAGCATTAGGCTCTTTTTACCTCAGATTCAAGCCCTCGGGTGAATTATGGATGTTGTCATTTCCTGGTTATGTTCAACCGCATACTGGCATACATGGTGCTGGATGGCCAAAAATAGCTTGCTAAAAAGTTAAAGACAGACAGTGCTGTACTGTTCCCTTACTATTTCATTTTAATGGCCCAGTTCCTCTTATGAGTTATGGGATTTGTATCCCCCCTCCCTCCCCACTCTATGCACAGAGGGCAGGTGTAAAATGTTGTAGAGTCCGCTGTGGCCCCTACCAAAGGAACATACGTCTCCTTTTGACTGTAGCAATACTTTCTTCCTAATGTCATACATACTGTAAGGATTAGTTGTGTGTGCAGCAGCAGTAGTAGGAAGTCCCTTGACATGCCCCCCTCTAGGACTAGATAAATAACTGGGGAATGATAACAGTTCACTCTCTGTTCTTGCAGAGACGCAAACACATGCTCATTTCCCGGTGTTCAAAATAAAATAAAAACTCAATTAGAGGAAAAATTTTGGATTCAGTTGGAGTGTAAACAACGAGCTCAGTGAACAAAAGTGAAGGGTGTAAAAGAAAGTCCAAGCTGAGAAGAGGAGATGCAGAAAAGATGGAGAGAGAAACAGCTGAGGGGTCACATTCGGTAGCAGATGTGGCTCTGTGGAGTGGTGGTGGCTGGGTCAAGAGAGATGGATGGAGACGGATCTTGGATCCTGGCCCTGTACACGAAGGACCGGCCTTGGCCCCCGGGCCATAAACTACAACCTAATTGAAGGATACTGTGGAGACCCCGCTGTTACCGAGTGGAGGACGGAGGTGGTGATTGAGGAGGGGGTCCCTCTCTCTCTCTCTCTCTTTCCAGCCCGGGAGCTCCGTCGGCTGGAACAATATTGGTCTTGGCGAGGGGCTGCGGCGAGCATTGCTAAACCGTGTCCATTTACGCCTAACATTTGCAAGATATAAATAATCCCTTTCCTCACTGTTGCTCTCGGCTCTTTTGTGGATGCATTCCTTGGTTATGAAACTGATGTTTAAAGTGCCATCAGTTGCCCCGTTTAAGCCAATTATTTATCGGGTACAGAGGTTAGATCAACCATTTTACATGTATAGTTGTCAACCTGTCCTACCTGCCTCCTCCCTTTTTACCCCCCAGCTCCCTTCCATTGATCCCTGGCTCTCCTCCAGCTTCCCCATCTGTTCTCTCTGAACATACTAACGTCTCCCTGGGCTTTCTTACAGCGTGTCTGTTCCTCTGTCTGACATGCAAACCTCTCCACTGTCTGATTGTTTGGTTTGGTTTGCAGTCTGCCAAACACGTGGACACACTTATCGCTCACCTTGGGGTCTCTCTACATCTCTCTCTTCATACATTACAGCGCTAACCCTCATACTCTTGCTCCCTCTCTTTCCAGCGAGTGACTGAACCATTTGGAAATGGCGCACCAGATCGGTCTTAAGTGGCCCTGAACCTGGCCCTGTGTTCAATTTATCCGTCCATTTCATTTTTCAACTTAAACGCTTACAGACACAGGAGTAGGAGGAGTAGATTTAGAAGCGCAATGGGTGCAGGAGGACAGTTCCATTTTATTCTTAAAGGTTAGGGCCAGATAACCCCATGGAGACCACCCTTAAAGTTTTATAGATCAAGTTGTTATTTTTTCCCTTCACAGTAAAACTCCCTGTATATTGGTTCTTTGTCAGTATCCCAATTCCGACTTACTTGTAACATTTTGTTATATATAGTAGTATAGTATAGTCAGCTATTTAATGCAGACCAGCCCTACTCTGTTTTTCATTCACTTCCTTATCCTGACTTTGAATAATCAGCTCTACATTTGAAGGCCAAAAGATGCATGACAAAGATCTCATTCTTTCTCATCTGGAAAATTCCACCGGTCTCCTGTTGGTTGTTTAAAAATGAGAGAGATATAGCAAGCAAGAGAGAAAGTGACAGCGTCCAGTTTGCTCAAGGAGAAGGCCATCTGTATGCTGGCTCGCTGCGAGGGTGACATCAGCTCATAACTCAGGGCCATTTACAGGGTGCTGACTAGGGGTCAGTCCTTTGTCTCTTCCTCCCTCGTAAGGAGATAGCTGAAAGATTTCCTAGCAGCCGTGCAGATTGACTGTTCCAGATATAATCCATACAGTTCCAAAGCCAAGTACGATGCAAAGCTACTTACTATCTTATGGGATTGTAATAGGCAGTATGACTTAGGCTGATCTGTTGTTTACGATACATCTGATTGTCTGACCGTTCAAGTTTCTTTCCACATTGGACCTAGTTGAGATATCATCATGTTTCCGGATCTTAGACATTACTATGACAAGTATAATGTCATCATAACCAATAAAAACAGAAGCCGAAACTACAAAAATATGACCCAAGGTCTAATAAACTGATATTATCCTTCAACAAACATCTACTCTTGTCTCTCTTTTTGATATCCATCCCTTCTCTTCATTCCAACACTACCCTCATCTCACCCCTTCTGTCATCCTCTG